AGTACCGAGCAACGCGTGGCTCCGGCGAGCAACGCCGCGCGGTTATTGCACAATTCGGTGTTCCCGCGTGTCGCGAGCGGTTGCAGGGCAAGAGAGAGATAAAGCCGTTGATAAATTCATCGATAAAGGTTGCGCGCGTGCGATATGGCCGCCGTCGATTCGCGCGAGAGTTAAGGGGACAGGCCCGCTCTCGTACGGGAAGGATTCTTTCCGATCGATCGATCTCGCCAGGAACGCGCCCCGATGGATTGAGACGGGGCGGAAGGGGGAGAGAGTGCGCCCGGTCTCGGGCAGCTTCGTCCGATCAGCTGAAACGAACGCCCGGCGAGGATTAATGCCGGCGAACCCGAGCGGCCGCGAGAAGTTGCAAGAAAACGGTTTGTCAGCCAGGCATTTATGCGTGAAATTTCGCTCCGGCGCGCGCGCGCGCGCGCGGGCGCGGGTTTGTCGTAACAGTTGATACCGGTGACGCAACCGGCAATAAATACTTCCTTTGTCTCGGCCAGCCGCACCCTAACGCTTCAATGCCGGTCATTACCTGGCCTACATAGATGGTATCGCTGATTAATGCGCCCAGAATTAACACATGTCTCACTTACCTACCGCGGGACCCGCAAAAATCGCGGCCCGAATCGTGTGAGGTTAATCGATTTATCTGGGGGGGTCATAAATCGTAATCGATAGGTGCCCGGTAGGTGCTCTTGGATCTACGCTCGGCCGGAGGAAGTTTGCTGATCGATGCGATACACGGGTCACTTGCACGCGTTTCAATTTCTTTAGGGCTTTTGTCCTGCGGCTTGAAGTGCTTGGACACTTGGTCTCTTCGAAATAGGAATAAATAAGATCATTTTTCACAATACTTCTATTTCATTGGATTTAAAATAGATTTCAAGGTAATTAAGTTTCTACTGTTTTTCCGCTACGATAGAAAATAGATTAAACTCGAATAGACAATTCTTCTCTCCTAGATTTTAAAAACAATATTTAATTAACGCTCCACATAAAAGTCAAAATAACATCGATACAAAATCATCTATGTCCGAACACCTTCCCAATGAAACTTTCCAAGAACGAAACGTCGAAAAAGGTTTCCGATCCGTTCAATCCTTCCTCCAGCCGGATAACTGCAATTAAAACAGCGGAAGCCTTGTTTTGCGGCGATCAAGACACGAGGATAATCTCCCGGCACGTGCAATTACGCGACAGTTACATTCGCCCGCCGAACGTAACCGCGGCGCTCGCGTGCGCTCGCGTGCGCGCGCGGGTTTCATTCATTATTTATCGCCGGTGTTTCTCTTTCCTGAAAACTTTCACGAGAGCCCCGTGTAAACGGGGCCGATACAAAGCCCCGTCGACGATCCGGGCTTAATTGACGCCAATTTGCCCGAGCAATTTAGGATCGCGACCCCTCGCCCGTGAACGAACGTTTCGGTGGTCCGCCCTCCCCCCCTCCGCCCTCGAAGAGAATGGAGAATAAAAAAGACACGAAAAGAAAGCGAGGAGAGTCCGTCGTTCGCGAGGGACAGCGAGCGATCGTCGAAGAAGATCTTCCGTTTTTCACAGTTCGTTGCTCCTCAAGGACAAAAAGTTATACATAAATAAATCTCTCGAGAAAGAAAGGCCGGCCGGTGCTCAATCGATGCGCATGCGCGAGCTGGACCAT